CATATTAGAGAGGGAGAGGGAGAGAGAAACATAGATGTGAGAGAGTAACACTGATACGCTGCCTCCCATACTCATTGAGACTCAGGATGGAACCCAAAAGCTGGGCACATGCCTGACCAGGAATCAACTGGTAGTGACCTTTTGGTGCACAGGCCAATGCTCAACAACCACACCAGCCAGGGCTAGTTACTGATTTTTCTCATGTTAATTTACCATTGCATTCCCATGATAGATCCAGTTTTGGACATCTTATATTCTTTTTATAAATTGCTGTACCCAATTTGCTAAAATTTTAAAGGAATTTTGTGTTTAGGTTTGAGTGGAATAACTACAATTTTCTTTTCCCTGTTACCCTTGTCTTAGTTTGTATCCATTGTATAGACTTCAGACATAAGACATATGTCTCACTTTTTTTCAATGCTCTAGAAGAGTTTATGATTGGAATTATTTCTTGAAAATTTAGTGGTTACTTTCAAAACTATAGTGGAAGTAACTTTGTGTTATGTTAGAGAATTTTTTTCAATATTGAAAATTTTCCATTTCATTTTGTGTCAGTCTTTAATTCATTTTATTTTTCCAGTAAATCCATTAGCATTTATTTATTCAGAGTATTCAGCTAATGTCTTGAGGTCTGTCTCCGACTTACATATTTAATTTTAAAAATTGTACTTTATTTCTTCCTTCTTAGTCAGTGTTCCAAGAGTTAATTTTGACCAAAGAATCAATTTTTTGCCAAATTATTTTGTTTGTTACCTTCTTTCTACTTGTCAAAGGTTTATTTTGTAACTCTTGATCTACCTTTAAAATGGAGTTTGTATTTTAGAATTTTGTCACTTTGGTATTCAAATATAAACATTAAAGGTTAAACATTTCTCCTTAGGTAGCTTCTTATATCCCACAATTTTTATACATTTCATTTTTATAATTTAGCTGTAATTCTTTAAAAAAAATTCCATTATTTCTTTATATATAATGATTTCAGAGGAGAGCTAGATATAGAAACATCAACATCCCCTACGGGGGTGAGTGGGGTGAGTGGCGGAGTCGAGGGGGATGGGGGGGCAGGAGATTGAGCCTGCAACTCAGGCATGTACAATTGGCCGGAATCAAACCTGAAACCCTTTAGCCCGTAGGCCAACACTCTATCCATTGAGCCAAACCCATTATAATTTTTCTTAAAATATATTTTATTGATTTTTACAGAGAGGAAGGGAGAAAGCTAGAAATGTCAATGAGAGAGAATCATCGACCAGCTGTCTCTTGCACACCCCTATCGGGGATGTGCCCGCAACCAACGTACATGCCCCTGACCGGAATCGAACCTGGGACCTTTCAGTCCGCAGACCGATGCTTTACCACTGAGCCAAACAGGCTTCGGCGCATTATAATTTCTTTAACCCACGATTTATCAAAAGATGTTTTAAATTTTCTAAACGTAATGGAACTTTTCATCTAATTTTTGTTATTGTCTTTTAAATGAATTGTGCTGGTTTTTCTCAGTGGTTAGAGCATCAACCCACAACCTGCAAGTTCTCAGGTTTGAGTCCCAGTCAAGGGCACGTACCTCATTTGCAGGCTCAATCCTGGCCCTGGATGGGGCTCAAACAAGAGGCAGCAATCATCCTGTCTCATGTCCATTTCTCTCTCACCCCTATTCCCCTCCCTTCTCCTCTCAAAACCAATGCGAGAAAAACCTCTCTTCCTCTGACTAGTTTCGCCTGTTCTACAGTTTTTATCAGCTGATTCATGTGATGTGTTTTTACTTTGCTTGTCCCACGCTGTTGAGAGCCCATTCCTAGTTACTGCTAAGTAGCCTTCTATTGCATACATGTATCACAATTTGCTTACCCCTCTGCCTGTTGGTGGATGAGACTTGGGTTGTTTCCAGTGTCTGGCTATTGTTAATGGCTATAAACAATTTTCCACAAGTTTTTCTGTCCAATGTTTTAGTTTCTCCTAGGTAAAATGGAAATGTAAACTAAACTCAATGGACTCAGCAGTATGAAAGGCATTCTTCCAAGTAGTCACAGTTTAGAACATAAAAAAATCCCAACAGAGTAAAAGCAGAACTGTTTGCTGAAAGCTACCATTCACCATTCTAAGTCGGGAACCTCATGCTAATGCCTCACATGCAGTTTTACTTCATTCACAACCCGAGGCCACACCACGTCCTATTTCCACTGTCTGGTGCGTCCACAGGATAACAGTTCAGGAATTTGCTCAGCCGATAGAATAGGCAGTACTAATACTTGCAATGTCTGTATGTGATTTAGGTCTTTTCAGACTCATAGCCTGCCCCTTAAACATGGCTGTACACTGCGGACATAAGAGGGGAGCAGATAACTCCCAGGAGCGGCCTCCGACCCAGGTTTGAAGTTAACGAGGTGAGGAGAGGAGAGGTTGAGGCCTCCACTTGTAGTAAAAATGCAGAAAACTAAGGGCTGACAACTAAGAGGCTGAAAAATCTAAAAAGCAGCTATAAAAACTCAAACAAAAAAGAAGTTTTGGGTCATATTCAGAGGCAAAAAGATAAAGCAAATAAATAAGCGTACCAAGGACCCAGCAAATGCAGCCCAGTTGCTGAGTTGGCATTACATTCAGGTGAGTATCATTAAACACACGGAGAAGTACATAATGCTTAGCAAACATCGGTAGTAAAATTTTTATGTGTACGTTGAAAATGTGGAATTCAAGTGAGACATTAGGCAGCAACATCAAGCCCGTGAGACTTCTTCCTCTAAAACAGTTCAATAGATTTATGTTAAAGACAACATGTGTATTGAAAGTAGCAATTTTATTTGAGTTAAAATTATTTACAAAAAACCCAAAGACATACTTCATGAAACTGGTACAAACTATTTTTTCCTGCCGTTGGCTTTTGCTCCAAAGATCACAGCTGAGAAATACTGTATAAAATAAGATTGGATTCAGAAAAGTATTCTACTGTTCTAATTTCCAACTGGTAGTATTTACAGAGATATTTACAATGGAAAAAAAGGTTACTTTAAAACTTTAATTTGTAAGTCAGCCTCAAGTACCCTAAAATGCAGAGTTCTCTGAGGGTTAAACACACAAATGCGCTGCAGCTGGTGAGGTGATGTCTCCCCCAGCCCCCACCAAAATCTGCATCTATCAGTGCTTGACAATTAGTTATTATTTAAATAACAAAACAAAAAACTGTTAAACACCGAGGTAAATCAATTCTCAGATGATTACCAGTGTAACAGAAAAATGTAGTTCGCCCTGATTGTTCTCATTCAAATGTTTTGTATTTCTTACCACCTGCCAGTCAGCTTTACCAAAAAATCTGTTCCTTTTCCTAAATCAATGATTAATAAATATCAATGTATTTTAAAATAATTAAACAAAATATATCTAATTCCATTTTCTGGGTATCATTTCCTGATATGCCTTCAAAATAGTTTGCTAAGCTAGCTTCTGTACTCAGGGCAAGTACAACCTGTCTTTCCCAAGTTACACTGGCACACTATGCTCTCAGAAGGTGATGGGTGGGGTCAGGGTAGGTAGGAGGGAGAAAACAATTTGTCCAGAACCAGTTACTTATAGATTTCCCAACAATCTGCATTATCAAAAATAGGAAGACATTAGAAGGCAGCCACTGCATTAAAAACATTACAGCTGGCACTGATACAAGAGCCCCGATTTGTCACTTTATACAAGGAAATAACAAAGTCTAAATGACTAAATCTTAGACTTTTAGCTATTTTCCCCAGTACACACCAAACTAATATTTTTATGGCTTCAAGTTTTACAAATCCAATGAAGAAACATGATATGACTACCGAAAAGGTATTTAAAAACATGAATGAAATAGATCTCTAAAAGCCTGTATTCAGGCCTGATCAATTAAAGAAAAAATGCATAACTGGTGGTCTGAACAATACAAGAAAAATTTGCAGTGTTGTGAAATTAAATGTTTTGTGTTCCATGCCTATTTTCCAAACAACACACTGCTCTGTGAAGTAAGAATCTAAATGGAAAAAAAGGGTCTTTTCTACACCAGCAATTTAAGGCTTTGCGTTTATGCATTTGATCCTGTCACTCTATAGAAGAATATACACGTTATCTGGAAACATGAATTCCACATTGGTGTTTTAGCTTCTTATATTTACTGTACTGAGCATTAGAAAATATATCTAGAGAGTTGTCCCCCCAAACTTAGTGTTTCAGGAGCCTCCCTGACATGAAGCGTAAACTGCCCTGGGTTGTCCATTTTGCTTCAGCCTTTACAGGGCGCATCATCTTAGATAACAGTCCCTTCAACTGTTACTTGTTTTCTTGCGTCTATAGTTATGACTCACTATGGTATCATAATGAACATGGTCACGATCTGAAAGTGAAAAAGTTTGACAACCTAAATCAAATCAAGAATAAAAGTATGCTATTAATCCCTTGTGTCTTTGGATTCCATCTAATTTTAAATATAGACAGTAGTAGTTCAGGGAACAACAAGAAAAAATTCACAAAATTATTAAAAGCTTTATTTACGATCGGAATCATTCAACAAAAAAAGCAAAAGCAATGAGCCTGAAAAAGGAACTACGCTGTTGTCTAGAATGTCCTCAGAACATTCGATGCCTCAGTAGCTAAGCTGCCTCTGCACCTGGCTGGCATGACAACAGTGGCTCAACATACACAGCAGTTGCACTAACAGCAGCACAAATTTCCCCCTGAATCTTGCCCAGAGTGAAGCAAGAGAACAGGGGAGAGTATAAACTCTGCCAAAGGAAGTGTACTTAAATACTGCATGGAATTAACAGCCTGAACCTTTTCCCTCATTTTTGATAGTTGCAGATTGATGTAGTAACTGTCATTGAGCAAATGCAGAATGCATGACGAAGAAATCAGGAGGCCTTAGAAATCCAACGTGAATGATACTGATGAATGTTCTTGGTATTCTCCAAGGAGATCTGTTTTCACCACTTCTCTGTCTCAGACCGGCTCCAGCACGGCCGAGCGCCGCAGCAGAGGTAAAGCAGCTAGCAATGTTCCAAGTACTCAATCACTCTCGAGATAGACTTCTGGCCTGTGGTTCCAACAGCACACTGCAAGTAGGATGGGGAGAGAGGAAGCAAGTTACCAGTTCACAAACTTTTAAGAAATATCAGACTAAAGCATAAATTCTTTAGCTTTACTAAACTGAACCATGTGAATCAAACACACTGAGACTAAATTATGGCTTTGATAATATAGGTATCAATATATCTGGCCATTATAACAATTATCTTTAATAGAGCACACTTACTAAAAGAAGATCCCTTTTGCCCTGGTTGGGTTGCCCAGTCGGTTGGAGCATTGTCCCGTATACCAAAAGGCTCAATTCCGGTCAGGGCACAAGCCCAAGATGCGGGTCTGATCCCCAGTCAGGGACTGCAGGAGGCAGACCCTCCATCTTTCTCATCTCATCGATGTTTCTCTTTATCCCTCTCCCTTCCTCTCTCTCTCAAATCAATAAAAACACTTAAAAAATAATAATAAAGTCCAGGTTTCTTTCCACTCACTATGGCCACAAAATTTTTAGTTCTACTGTCATTAATTTATCATACTTATATTTAAAACCACAAAAGCTGCACTGGAAGCTACTTACAGTAAGATTCATAAAGCTCAGGAATTTTTTGAGCATCTCTGTCATTATTGAAAAGTCCCCTTCAGGCAGATACTCCCGCACAGTGGTCACATTGATCTGAGGAAACATCAAAGAAATACTGATCAGTGTGGCTCAATTGACTGAGCACCATCTATGCACTGTATGGAAGGTTGCCAGTTTGATCCCAGTCAAGGTGCGTACGGGAGGCAACCAATTAATGTTTCTCACATCAATATTTCTCTCTCCTCCATCCCCCTCTCTGAAATCAGTTTATATATATACATATACATATACATATATTAAAATGTATGTATGTCAGGTGGTAGAAAACACGAGCTTGCACCTTGCACTGTGTTGATGGTTATGGGCACATTGTGTTCCAAACCTCCATAGTTCAAGGATCCCTGAACTCTTGGTTAAATATGGCATTTCCTCTCTTTCCTCGCTCAACAGTGCTTGCATGCGTGTGTTCCCATTCCCTATCCCATCCTATCCACAAAGAAAGGAGAAAGGCTAAGCTGGCAAAGGCTACAAAATGAAGTTATGTGTGCATGTTTACTTTTGTAATTGCACAGAAAATGCTTAAAACAACTAAACATGCCCTAACCGGTTTGGCTCAATGGACAGAGTGTTGGCCTGCGGACTCAAGGGTCCCAGGTTCAATTCTGGTCAAGGGCATGTACCTTGGTTGCAGGCACATCCCTAGGCGGGAGTGTGCGGGAGGCAGCTGATCGATGTTTCTCTCTCATCTCTCATCGATGTTTCAAGCTCTCCCTTCTTCTCTGTAAGAAAATCAATAAAATATATTAAAAACAAAACAAAAAAACAACTACACGTGCTGTTGAGTGTGTGTGTGTGTGTGTGTGTGTGTGTGTGTTGGGGTGGTGGGAAGAGTTAGGAGAGGAGGAAGGAGTGCAGATTTAAAATGTTACACTTCATGGACACAGACAATAAATAAGGTGGTGAAGGCTTGGGGTGGGAAATGAGAACAGACTAGAAGAGATCAATGGGGGAGAAGGGGAACATATGTAATACTTTTAACAATAAAGATTTTAAAAAAATGTTACACTTTAAAATGTACTCAGATCTGCTTATGGAATAAAAATAAAAAGATCAAAGAAAATTCCTCGCCTTAGCTGGTTTGGCTTAGTGGATAGTTGTGTCAGCCTGTGCACTGAAAGGTCCCAGGTTCGATTCTGGTCAAGAGCACATGCCAAAGTTGTGGGCTCGAGCCCCAGTAGGTAGTGTGCAGAAGACAGCCAATCAATGATTCTCTGTCATCATTGATGTTTCTCTCTCTCTCTCTCCCTTTCTGAACTCAATAATAAAAATATATTTAAAAAAAGAAAGAAAATTCCTTAGTTCCACGGGTGAATCCAACTAATTCTGGAGGCTAAGAATTTAAGTAGAGCTTCCCAAAAGGCACCCAGCATAGCCTATGTAAAGGAGCATGTCAGAAGCCAGGAGAGATTAAAGTGTTTCCTCCACTGACTGTTAGCGAGACAGCTAAACTACTTATAAGCCAATCTGTTAAGGAAAATGTATGACTTAGGAGCTGAGAAGGAGTGCCCAATCTGCTCCCTAAGATAGACCGGGTGTAAGAGGCACTGGGAAACACTAGTCACCAGAACTCAAGGAACCAAGACCACATCTGATGTCTCAAGGGCCGGGGTTTTGAAGTGAGCCTAGCTGATCTGCAGGAAGACGAAGTTGCATTTAGAAAATCCAAGCTAATTACTGAGGATGTTCTGGGCAAAAACTGCCTATCTTCCATGGCCTGGATCTTACCCAAGACAAAAATGGGCTCTGTGGTCAAAAAAACATGGCAGACCGTGATGGAAGCTCATGTTGCAGTCAACACTGCCGATGGTTGTTTGCTCGTCTATTCTGTGCTGGTTTTACTGAAAAGTGCAACCACCAGATTCAGAAGACCTCTTAGGCTCAGCATGGACAGGTCTGCCAAACCCGGAGGATGAAGAAAATCGTGACCCAGAGATACAGACAAGCGACTTGAAAGAAGTGTCCATAACAGATTCCAGACCCCATGGGGAAACACATGGAAAAGGCTCGCCACGCTATTCCTCCGCTCCACTGTGTCTTTGTTAGAAAAGTCAAATGCTGAAGCCAGGTTTGAACTGGGGAAACCCAGGGAGATTCAAAAGCTACATGGGCTCGTGCGCCTTTAGATCAGAGCTGGACTGCAATGAAAGCATGGAGAGACAGATAAGAAAGATTCAAAAAAATACACAGGACTTAAGACACATGGACATGGTGGCAGTGGGGGATGGGAGGCGAGCACGATAGCAAAAATGACAAAGTGTTTGTGGGTGGGCAGACCCACAGTATGAATGCTTCTCCAAATTAAGCTCTTCACACTATCACTGAGATTCTAACCTTCCCACCACGCAACACACCTCCACTTTTTCTTGGCTCCTGAATACCCTGTCTCCTACAGAACCTCCCTTTAATTTGAAAATTGGGCTGTTCTACTTGTCCCTATCCTTAAAAACAAACAAAAAAACTCCAGCCTGGCCAGTGTGGCTCAGTGATTGAGCATCGACCTATGAATTAGGAGTTTTTGGTTCAATTCCTGGTTGTGGGCTCAATCCCCAGAAGGAGGTGTGCAGGAAGCAGTTGACCAAGATTCGCTCTCATCATTGATGTTTCTCTCTCCCCCCCTCCCTTCCTCTCTGAAATCAATACAAATATATTTTTAAAAAAACAACCAACCACCCCCATGTGTCCTGCTCTAAAAGCAGACTGTCCCAAAGGTCAGAATCATCTATTTCTGTGTTCCCTCAGCACAGAACTGTCTGGACATTCATACTTCCTACAGTTCGATTACAATGATTTAGCTCTCACATAGTAGCCCCATTTACCTGGCCAATGAGTAGTTCAAACAAAAGCACGCGGGCCAATATTGGCCAAGATGAGGGGAAGCCTACTTGGTCTAGTGAGTGTGAAGGGGTTTTAGAGGGGGAAGCAATGCTCTTAAAGTCCTTGGTATCATTGAGGCTAGACTCTTCTACCTTGAGCCAGCTGAGCATGGATTTTATATTCTGCTCTCTTTTACTTCAACCAAAGGTATGTGAATTGATTTATCATCCATTAGTCAAGAATGTTCTCATCAAACCCAATGTACTATTACTTGGAATGTACCTTTAAAAGTTCACCAAATATTCAAAACAGTCACAGGAATGTAAAGTACAGAATAGGGCCCTAGCTGGTTTGGCTCAGTGACTTGCGACTGAAGGGTCCCAAGTTCAATTCCAGTCAAGGGCACATACCTGGGTCGAAGGCTTGATCCCCAACCCCAGTCAGGTTACATGTAGGAGGCAACCAATCAATGTATCTCTCACATTGATGTTACTCCTTCTGTAATCAGTAGGGACCTGAGGCTAAGCCCTCCCTTGCCTGTGGGGCTCGACAGGGGACCTCAAGGTGTGCTTCCCATCCTGGGACTTGGCTAGAGGATCTCAGGCTGCTCCCCCAACTCCAGCACCAGGCCAGGGGACCTAAGGTTGTGCCCCCCACCCAGTGGGGCTTGACAGGGGACCTCAAGGGGCACACCCAGTGTTGGGTTGGGGGAACTCAGGCTGCACCCCCGCCCAGTGGGACTTGATAGGGGACCAAAAGGCCGTACCCCCATCCCGGTGCTGGGCTGGGGGATCTGAGGCTGCGCTGTCCCCCAACCCCCACTTGGCGGGGCTTGACAGGGGATCTCAGGCAGTGTTCCCCACAGGCAGGGATTGATGGAAGACCTCAAGGCATGCCCCCCACTCTAGTCTGGTCTAAGGGAACACTCAGGCCACGCGCCCCCCCCTCCCCTCCTAACCTGGTGCCGACTAGGGGACCTGAAGCTATACCCTTTGCCCGGCAGGGCTTGACAAGGGTGGGACTGGCCAGATCTGGATCTAGCCCAATTAAGGTGGGGGGGGGGGGGGTGCGGCCAGGTCTGGATCTCACATGATTTTGAGGTGCATGTGGGTGGACAGGGATTTGACTCTGCATTCCGTGGTGTGCCCCAGACTCTCATAGAAGGAAGGTTTTCATATACATTTTACTAATTTTCTTTCATCTCTGACACTTCTATTATATTATAGAGAAAGGACAAATAGTAATATTAAATTATTTCCTCTAATTAATCCTCTTTTAATTTCCTCTAATTAATCCTCTTTTAATGAAATTTCATGCACTGGGTCACTAGTCTCTCTCTCTCTCTCTCTCTCTCTCTCTCTCTCTCTATATATATATATATATATACATATATATATATATATATATATGTATATATATATATATATAGATAGAGCGAGGGGGGGAGGGAATGCAGTCAATAATATTGAATAGCTGTACAGTGGCAGAGTTATTAAAATATATATATTTTTTATATATATAAAAGCCTAAGCAACCAAATGACCAGTTGACTAGTCGCTAAGACGTGCACTGACCACCAGGGAACAGATGCTCAATGCAAGGATTGGGCTCTCTCCTGTCTGGATTAGGCCGAAACTGGCTATCCGACATTCCATTAGGAGTCCCAGATTGTGAGACCCCATCGGTGCACAAATCTGTGCACTAGGCCTCTAGTATAATATAACTGCAAAATAACATTTTAAAAAAAGTTTACCACATATTTGAAAGTTTTTAACATGAGGGCGGTAACAGAGTAGTATATAAGCTAATTAAATAATGGTATGAAGCTGCCAGAATGGAATCTTTTCACATAAAACAGTGTACTCTTACTTACGGGACTCTCCTGGCAGAGACAACCAAGAAGCAGCGCTGTGTACGAGGCCACAATGCAGTCCTCCATATGCTTGCCAGCGTGCTGAAGGGCTAAGAATGAACAGAACACTGTGACGGCATATAAAAAATAAAGCCCACGGACCAACAACTCACTCATCACTTCTTCAAACTATTCAACAGTGATAAATGATGCTAGAAAAATGGGATATCCACACAAATTCACAAAAAGTAGTAAGTGGAAGATAATGTAAGAGCTAAAACCATAAAACTCTTAGAAGAAAACACAGACTAGTCCTGGCCAATGTGGGTCAGCGCCATCCATACACCGAAAGGTCGTAGATTCTATTTCCGGTTAGGGCACATACAGGTTGAGGATTCCATTCCCAGACAGAGTGCATACAGGAGGCAACCAAGAGATGTCTCTCTCTCTCTCTCTCCTTCCTCACTCTCTAAAAATCAATTAAAAACATATCTTCAGGTGTGGATTAAACTCAAACAAAAACCACAGACTAAATCATTGTGACATTAAGTTAGCAAATAGTTTTTTCAACACTAAAACCCAAAAATGACAAAGTAAAGAATAGGTACTTTTTGCAGAGACTGGTTTGGCTCAGTGGATAGAGCATCTGCCTGCGGACTGAAAAGTCCCAGGTTCGATTCCAGTCAAAGGGCATGCACCTTGGTTGTGGACACATCCCCAGTGGGGGTGTGCAAGAGGCAGCTGATTAGTGATTCTTTCTCATCGATGTTTCTAACTATCCCTCTCTCTTCCTCTCTGTAAAAAAACCAATAATATATATATATATTTAAAAAAAAAAATAAACAAACAAACTAATAAATAAAAAGACTGCTAAGTGCCCTATCTGGTTTGGCTTAATGGATAGAGTGTCAGTCTGCAGACTGAAGGGTCCCGGTTCGATTCCAGTCAAGGGCACATGCCCGGGCTGTGGGGCTCGATCTCCAGGAGGCAGCCAATCAATGCTTCTCTTTCATCTCTGATATTTCTCTCTCTCTCTCTCTCCCTCTTCCTTCCTCCTGAAATCAATAACAACGTATTTAAAAAATAAAAAACAAACAAAAAGAATGCTAAGCAGTAAAAAATGTTATGCCAAAGGAAACATCAAAATTAATAAATGAGGAAATAAAACAGATTTCTTACAATCTCATAACTAACGACATTAGATTTGGAGAGCATGGACACGAGAGAGAGAGTAGACTCAGAATCAACATTGCTGGTGCTTGCATCCTAGCTGGGTGAAGATAAACATATTAAATTTCGAAACTTGAATGGCATGAATAACAACTGGCTATTTTGCAGAATTCACATGAATCAAGCATCACAGTTCCTGACAACAGTAGATAATGTTTGATTAGTGAAACCATTACCTTCAGTATATTCCTTACTGTGTTTGCCACCAACTACCTATACCATTTGAGAATGATAACTGTAATTTATGACAATAGAACTCAGTACATAAAGGGAGAACAATAAAAGAATCACAAAGTTTCAAAACTAAAAACTTTTAGGGGTCAGTGTTCAGCTGCTTCCCATTACAGAGAAGGCTGGCCCCAGAAGGAAAGGCACCTTTCCTCACTCACATGTGCCATCTTCACTGCCAGCGTGCCAACCAATGCCTGTGCGCACTGAGACAGCAAAGCTGTGTACACTGAACTAGAGAGGCCATGAAGTAGAATAAATAAAAGATCATGACAACACATGACTTAAAAGTATGCTCTGGAGAAAAAATAAGCCATCATTGAATTTTCTATGTGAACACACTCAAAATAAATGTACCTTTATTGAGGTCAAGTTCCTCCTCTTCCTCCTCCTTCTTTTGTCTCTCTTCTGCACCATCAGTCTTTTCCGTTGATACCCACTGTATTTCTCCACTTGTTTCTTGCCACTCTCCACTCTTATCATGCTGAGTGGTGGGAGTATCTTTGATCAATTCATCTGTTTTACTTTCTGCCAACTGGGCTGCTCGCTCTCGCTCAAGAAATAGCTGACAAAAATTATTTTTAAAGAGATTAAAAAAGAGATCACCAACCAATATGTATGTAGCCAAATATAAAGTTCTATTTGTTTTTAATCATCACTAATCCTGAGAAGCAAGTTGTATGATAAAAAGGTTAAGTATCAATAAAAGCCCTTGTTTGGTAATTCTTGCTCTATATCTTATGAAGGCCAAAATGAAAGTATAAATGCTGTTGGTATTCAATCAAGTAAATTGTCTACTAATAATGCAGGCAGGCATTGTGTTTGTAAGAATGAAAATCTCAGTACTTCCTTTAATTTGAATAATAATGACAAAAAATTTCAAGTAAAAAAAGCTATAAACTTAAATAATTAAAACAAAACAGCCCTAGCCAGTTTGGCTTAGTGGACAGAACGTCAGCCTATGAACTGGAAGGGTCCCAGGTTCAATTCTGGTCAAGGATGCATGTCGGGTTGCAGGCTTGATCCCCAATAGGGGGCATGCAGGAGGCAACTGATCAATGATTCTCTCTCATCACTGATGTTTCTCTCTCCCCCTCCCTCCCATTTCCTTCCTCTCTGAACTCAATAAAAATATATTAAAAAAACAAACAAAACCAAACCACAAGCAGAAAGGATGAATTAACTGAAAAGAAGAACAATGAATAAAACTATATTATACTATGTAAAAGTAACATGGCTTCTTTAAAAGAATACAAAAACCAGTAAAAAAGTAAAAAGGTTCAGAAAAAAACTCAGAGCTGGAACTCAACTAATCATATTAAAAATGAGGTGCAATTGTCAATGAAAGTGCACAGGGAACTCTCTAAGTGAAAAAGAGAATACTCTGAACCTCCTTGCCTTCACTGACCTGATCTTCCCTGGGTGGGTACAGTGCTGAACATGCAGAGAGCACTGAACATACTGGTATGATTTGGGGAAAACCCAAAGTTACTAAAGACAACTACCTGATAATCAAATGCCAAATAAACCTCAGAGATTTGCTTAATGTACAAAGAGTGGTCTATACAATTTAATGCCTTAAAAAATAAAATTCAGATTTTGTATAAAGCAGCATTTCTTAAAATTGGTTCAAGGATCCCTATATCCTTTCAGGGAGTCCATGAGGTCAATGATATTAAGAGGTCAGGTGATTTCTTTCATTCTCTCTGAATATACAGTTTTCCAGAATGCACAGCTCATGTACTTATATTATTGCTCTAGTGCCTGATGGTATGGGTGCCCATGTTTCACAATTTTCTTTTCTTTTTCTTTCTTAAATATTTTTATTGATTTTTCACAGAGAGGAAGAGAGAGGGATAGAGAGTCAGAAACGTCGATGAGAGAGAGTCATCGACCAGCTGCCTCTTGCACAACCGCCACTGGGGATGTGCCCGCAGCCAAGGTACATGCCCCTGACTGGAATCGAATCCAAGACCCTTCAGTCCTCAGACCGATGCTCTATCCACTGAGCCAAATTGGTTTCAGCATGTTTCACAATTTTCTTAGTAAGTTTGGAAAGATAGAGCACATATAAACAAAATATCTTTAATTTTTAAGAGTATAAAGATCAAAATGTTTGAGATGAGAATGATGGGCTCCTAACTGTAATTCAGGAAAAAAAGATCAAATTGTTGTGGATTACTTTTGAGGGCACAGTTCAAACATTAGTTTCAAATAGGCCAAAAAATTAATAGGTTAGCTAGTAAAGGCTTCAGAAACAATGAAAAAGATAGTTTATCATCACTTCTGCATATATGCAAACTACCATTTAAGGAAATGACAAAGGCAGCTAGGAATTTATGAGTCTGGAAAAAAGTAAAAACTGTAATGTCCACCGTTGTCAAGAAACAAGAACTCACGTACATTTTTTTTAAGGGGGGTGGGATATAAATGGATGGGAGAGGGAGTGTTTGTTTTGGGTGGGAGTTGGAGATACCAATTTTAAATATTCATATTCTAACACAATTCTTAAACCAGGAAATTATTCCACAGACATACTTTAAAGAGCATGACCCAATATATAGGTAAGTCCTATATATTGTCCAATATAAGTCCTGGGCGCAGATCAGACCAGTAAGTGCTGGATGAGGTGGGGCTGAAGGCTGATTCCTAATTTGTGATTAAAAATCTTTTTGACTTATAAACAAATATGCCTTTCACTAACAATGCTTAAGGAGTAATAAGTAAGGGTATTCATTCTGACCCAGTGTACCTCTCACTAAACTGGTGAGACTGGGAGAGAAGCAGAAGGGTTGGGGAAGGAATAAAAAGGAAAGGAGGAGGGGAGATAGACAGAGAGAAGTACAACTGATAAGGAAATTGGATACATGCAACAAACTGAAGGTGTTTAAGTTATTGCTTACCTGCACTAAAGCCTGAACAGCATGAACTTGTCCAGCTATCCTTAAACTATCATCTCCTTCTCCACTGCAGAAGGAAGAATCGAAAGAGCACGACGTTTCCATGTTGACAAGACAGTGCCGATTCCGAGCACTATATTCTACTAAATTTATCAGTAGACCTAGGCCCTATAAAAATTAAAACTGCATATTACCACAGGTGAGAATTAAAAGCAAATGAACATAATGTACATCACTTTACTGATAACTAGAAACCTAATCAGTGCCCTACCGTCTACAAAATAGTTAAAAACTAGTATGTAAGATAATGGTCTTCCCAAAAAAATGATTTAACCACCTTTTAAAAGAATCTTCACCTGAGGATGTTTTCCCATTAACTTAGATAAGTTGAAGGGATGGAGGGAGAGACATGGATGTGAGAGAAACATAAGACTGTTTGCCACACACACACTGTGCCTGGAGATTGAACCTGCAACCCAGGTATGTGCCCTTGAGGGGGAATCAAACCCTAGAGCCTTTGGTGTGGGGCAGATACTCTAACCACTCACTGACCCACATCAGCCAGGGCTGATTTCACCACTTTTTTAAATCTCCACTTTTAATTCTTATATTATTTGTACATAGGACCCTTCACAGCTACTTGCACAGTAAGATCATGTTCATAAGGAATCTACTGAAACCCACAATATCTGTATACTAGAGGCCCATTGCAATGGGCCTTCCTTCCCTTGGCTTCCGGCACCGGTTTTCCTCCAGCACCCAGGACTCAGGCCTTCGCTCTGGCCAGTCTGCCTTCTTTGTTTTTGCTGCAGACTCTGGCCGGTTCGTCTTCACTGCTCTGCTGGAATCTGCCACCTGGAGTCTGCAATCTTTCGGCCTCACTGCAGCACCCCGCTCCTGTAGATCCCTTCGTCCCCTGCCCTCCCTCTCATCATATCAGGTGTCCTGCTCTGCCTGGCTACTCCTCGCCTGGAGCAGCTGGGCGGCCCCCATCTTTGGCCTTCTAATTTGCATACTCACTCTGATTGGCTGTGGGCGTAACACACAATTTACATGTCTGTCTATTATTAGGTAAGAAGATATAAAAGCCTAAGTGACTGAACGACTGGTCACTACGATGCACACTGACCACCAGGGGGGAGACGCTCAATGCAGGAGCTGCCCCCTGGTGGTGAGTGTGCTTCTGCCACTGCAGCAATGCTACCAATTGGCAGCAGCAGGTGCAGCGGCATTGGGATGAACAGGAGTGGCACCCAGCCAGGGCTTGGGCTCCTCCCCAGCCGCCTGCCACTTTGTACACTACTACATCCCCCGAGGGGTCCTGGATTGTGAGGGGTCCTTCAGCACAGGCCAAGCTGAAGGACCCCACTGGTGCACGAATCCATGCAAGTGCACCTCTTGTATCCAATAATTTGTTCTAACCCCAAAACTAAGATGAAGTTTTCATTATCAACCAAGCACACAATCAACCAACTACTCATTTCTGAAATAGCTGCTTCGACTCACTAGCACTCGAATATCAAATCTCTGCTCCTGAGGTAGGTACTTTGGAACCTGAAGCACACAGTTCATCGCTGTGCCGATCAAGCCATCCTGTTCTCCTGTTTTGGTGCTGCCCCACTCTAAAACAGAAAACAGTGTGAAAGTGTTACTGGTTCTTCTTCATGATACCAACAACCAATATACACTAACAAGAATATAAAAAGTTAGAAATGTATAGCTCTTTTTTTTTTTTTTTTTTTTTTTTTTTAACACATCAACTGTGCTAACTGACCATCACTCCATCACAAATGCTGAAGAAGTCATTAACTGTAATATTTCCAAGCCAAGATACCAGGCTTGTTCTAAAATGACCAACTCCTAAAGGCAGTCAAATCTACTAGTATACGTGAATCAGTGAATTACATGATAGCAATTTAAAAAATCACTATCTCAAGTAAAGAAACAAGGGTGTAAATCCATGTAACACACGTCACTCACCGTTGTCGTTCGTTAAATTGAGCAGCACCCCGATAATGGCCCGCATGCAGTCTTCCACTGCTTTGCCCACGTGGTTAGTGACATTCTGCTGAGGCAGAGGCTTGCTATCAGGCAAGCATATACTGTTCTCAGCACGGTTATACTGCTGAATCAATTCTTCACAATGTTGCAATGCTCTTAAGAGAAAACAAAATGTAGATTTACTCTAAACAAAAATAGTTAAATTTAAAACGTCTTACTTGGGCCTTAATGTTTCAAAATCTGTCATACGCTGTCATGTGAACTCACTTTCCTCTCCCTTGTTACACTGTATGAACCAGTGAATCATGTACTAAGCATGTCTGGCATTACAACGGTATCGCAGTAGCTGCTACATTTAATTTATTTTGGGAAAATTCGATAATTTAAATTTTTCTAAGCCAAGTTAAATTATGAATTCTATACAGAAGTTTTTATCTCTATTAGTTAACAGTTGTCCCCCATTTTACCATTCTCTCCAACAGAAATGACTACAACCCTTCTCCAAACAAGCTGAAGTTCTTCAGAGTTAACACTAGACACTTTGGAATTTCACTCAGATCTTTTTTAATGCATGTTCTTAGCAGATAGAGAAACATTATTAATACTGCACAATAAAATGATCTTGTATAGATGGGTATTAAATACTTCATAAATATTACAGCAAATGACAGGTCATTTAACTGATGTGTCTCCTGGCAGAATCAAGGTATCAGCTGTATCCAAGGATTCTCAAGATGCTACCCAAAATAACAAGTACATTTAATGCTTAAGTAGGTATAATATTTATGAATACTCTCCTTAAATCACAAAGTCCATTTAAAAAAAGTCTATGATGAGAGATGATGTAAGCTGTCTGCTGATATGACATGCATTACATATATCACACAACACCCTTGAAGAAACTGTACTGGATCTGTTCCTCCTTTAGCTGCCCTTTGGTTAGGTCGGTATTCCTCATGCCTGATTTATAATAATGTCTTACGTAGATGTTTAGGGATGTTAGCCACAACTACTATGCTGTTATAGTTCACTCAACTGCTTTAAGCAGTACTGAGCTAAATCACAGCTTGAATTGAGAGGTGGGTGAAGAAAAGTGAGGTATATTATTTAATTTTTCAATATGTTATCCCTGCATTTATCAGGGTTTTACAGAAAAGTTTAAGAAGCCTGATGAGAGATCTTTCACAAATATCCAACTCTGTCCTCCACCCCTACTTCTAAGACATTTGACACAAAGGTCCTAAATACAACAAAAGAGCTAAAACCTGTCCTTATCAGGAGGCATGAAACATATAAGAGACATTTTAAAAGTAACATATTTAACTTGCAAGAAGACTCCCTTTTTAACAGAGTAAAAAAAAACTAGAATATATGCCTTAATGGTATCAAGTGTGACAAAAAATGTACAAAGTACAAGAACAATGGAGAAGAAATTTACAGATTAAGAAAATCGATTAGAAAATACTAGAAATTGAATGCTAATGGGACATATTAATATTTGGCAAATAATAATTTTTGGGGTATAAAAATAATAATGTGGCTATATTTTTCAAGAGTCCTCTTGTATATACTTAAGTACTTAGGAATGAAATGATAAATTTGTGGTTTGCTTCCAGATAATCTAGAAAGGGGAATGATAGGGTTACAGCTGGAAACAAGACTGGCTAGGACTGATGACGACTCAATCTGAATGACATGTAAATCAAGGCTTATTATACTATTTTGCCTCCTTTTGTCATGTATGATATTCTCTTGAATAAGAGAATATCATACATGAATAAGAGGTTAAAAAAAAAACACACAGATAAATTTGAGTCAGGTAGTAAGTGGGACTTTGCTACTATTCTAAGGACTTTGAGTATATGTGCAAAATCAGTAAGGAACCAGAGATTTGCAGTTTGAGATTATTTTTACAAAGCATATACATATATGTTTTAAAATATGTATATACATACATTAAAACATATTTTCATTGATTTTAGAGAGAAGGGAGAGGGAGAGAGATAGAAACATCAATGAGGAGAGAGAATCATGATCGGCTGCCTCCTGCACACCCCCTACTGGGGATCAAAACCACGGAACCCAGGAAGGTGCCCTTGTCTGGAATCAAACCTAGGACCCTTCAATCCGACGCTCTGTCCACTTAGCCAAACCAGCCAGGGCAAAAGCAGAGATTTGAGGACAGTTAACCCCTGTGGGGGTGTGCTGGACACGCTAGAATATCAGGAGTTAGGACAGAGAGAGCAGGAAGAGGCTGCTGCACTGGGTGACAGCATTAGCCTAATGTCAGGAATTAGGGCTGAGTGTGTGGGGAATGAGGGAAGAATCTGCCTACAGATCTGGGGGGAAGATAAAAACAAAAAGGAAGAGGAGGGATAGTGATGTTTATTCATAATAAAAATAAGGCTGATATTTAGTGTTTACTCTATGCCAATAATTGTTCTAGGCCAGTGGTCGGCAAACTCGTTAGTCAACACAACGATTGAAATTTCTTTTGAGAACCAAATTTTTTAAACTTAAAACTTCTTTTAATGTCACTTCTTCAAAATAGACTCACCTAGACTGTGGTTATTTGTGGAAGAGCCACACTCATAGGGCCAAAGAGCCGCATGTGGCTCGCGAGCCGCAGTTTCTAGGCTTTATGCATATATACTAACTTTTTTTTTTTTTTTAAATATATTTTATTGATTTTTTACAGAGAGGAAGGGAGATAGAGAGCTAGAAACGTCGATGAGAGAGAACCATCGACCAGCTGCCTCTTGCACACCCCCTACTGGGGATGTGCCCGCAACCAATGTACATGCCCCTGACCGGAATCGAACCTGGGACCTTTCAGTCCGCAGACAGACGCTCTACCACTGAGCCAAACCAGTTTTGGTCATATATACTAACTTTTAAAAAAATTAATCTAATTGTTGGAAATATTACAGATATCCCTTCTCTTCTATTAATTCCCCTTCTTCCTCTCCCCTATATTAACTCTTTTAACATATATTGTTCATAACATATATAACATACAAGGGACATTTAAAAATCATTTTTAAAGTTTAAACATATTTTATACATACTAATATACATTTTAAATGATATAATTTAACATATAACAAGTATATTATTATTTTTATGATAACAACCTTGGGTAAGTAGATACAATTATTAACCCCCCATCTGAAGAACTTGTAGCAAATAAAAAGCGAGGATCCACACTCCAGTCGCTCTGGCTCCAGAATCTGCACTCCTAACTTTTCCGAGACTGTACTGCTTCTGGTACACAGAATTTGACAGACGAAGTGTTTTATGGAGGAAGATCATACAACAGTATTTTCTTTAAGCTAATCTAAATGCTTTAAATAAAATATTTTATTTTTATTCGTGTGGCTGAAACCGTTTTTGGCTCAGTGCATAGAGCATTGGCCTGTGGACTGAAAGGTCCCGGGTTCGATTCCGGTCAAGACATGTACCTTGGTTGCAGGCACATCCCCAGTAGGGGGTGTGCAGGAGACAGCTGATCAATGTTTCTCTCTCATCGATGTTTCAAACTCTCTATCCCTCTCCTTTCCTCTCTGTAAAAAAAAAAAAAAAAAAAAAAGAAAAGAAAAAAGAAAAAAAAGAAATCAATAAAATATATATATTTTTAATAAAGTGTGATATTTCAGAAAAACTTACTTAGCTGATGAAACAATGAGTTGTGAATCTTTATATGCTATCAAGTAGCCTTGATTGTCTGGATTATGCACTGTTACCTAAAAGAAAAAATTTGAAATGATGTGTCAATCCATAACTTCAGTCATTCATATATAACACACTTATAACTAATGCTGTAAAAGACAAAGATGAGAAAATTCAGCCCTTGTCATGTAAGTAAATAACTCACACGTTCCTGCTTTAAAACAAAGCTATCGCTTTATTACAAAGTTAAAGCATTACTGTTACAATTGCTTGTTCATAATGTATTCTGTGCTCTACATTCACTGTAATGAATTACCAATGAATGTCAGAAAAGAACAGTCTCTAACTTATACACAAACTAATCAAGTTCTTAAATGGATTCATTTAGAATTTTAAAAAAATATACAGGAGTGGACAAAAGTAGAATTATAGTTGTGAGTATACAAAATAGTTTATTCCTGTATTATTATTAGTTGCATTATTTCCATACAAACAACTGTAAACCTAGTTTTGCCCACATCTGTATATCTCTGTTTATCAAATATACTCTAGAACAGAGTACTTCAATTTTGCCAAAAAATTTTTTTAAAAAGATTTTACTTAATGAGAGGAACATTGATTTGTTATTCCACTTATTTATGCATTCATTGGTCAATTCTTGTATGTGCCCTGACCAGAGATCAAATCCAAAACCTTGGTGTGTCAGGATGGTGCCCTAAACACTGAACTAACTGGTCAGGGCCAAAAAATTTTAACTACACTAGATTATTTCCCCACAGATGGTTCAAAAAGCACCTGGCTACTCCGATCTAATCAATACACAATCTATGCATACTGCACTTCACTGGCAGCATAATTTCTCTGAACTGGGTTAAGTTATTCATTAAAGGCCAAGAACAAATATACTTATTATGGCACTCAGTTCAATAATACCATTCTTCAACACCAAATATTAAGAAAATTCTTATTAATTAAAAAAACAAATGATGCCGGGACCGGTTTGGCTCAATGGATAGAGCATCGGCTTGGGAACTGAAGGGCCCCGGGTTCTATTCCGGTCGAGGGCACATCCCCAGTAGGGGGTGTGCAAGAGGCAGCTGATCGATGACTCTCTCTCATTGATGTTTCTAACTCTCTATCTCTCTCTCCTCTCTGTACAAAAATCAATAAAATATATTAAAAAAACAAATGAACACCTGACTGCTTTTTACTATCATTTTTCCTAAACAAGTTAACATAAAGGGTGTCCCAAAACAATGTGTTCACACTTTAATAGCTGATAGTTCTATTTTGAAAATGTAATGTATTTTAACAAACACTGCCTTTATAATTATTCAAAGTGTGTGAATACAGTTTTTTGGATACCCTATATAAGTAGAATTCCACATTAAGGAATATTAACATTCAGCAATATAAACAAAACTAACATGCGAGGTTTTTCATGGAGCAGCAATATACATATTTTAAAAAAACTAAACTGCTCATTTAACTTGTTCATTAACAATGGCTGCTCAAAGAATGCATCACAATTACAACTTGGACTTTTTTTAAAAAGTGAAACTCCAGAGATACATAACACGTATTTGGCAGTCTTACACAGTCACAATTAAGATTAAACAATTTTCTCCAAACAGTTGTCTATACTTACACTTTCTAGAACTCGTAAACATCTCTCTGCTCCCCATAATGAGGCTACTAGTTTCTCTTCATCCTCATCTCTACTGAGATGATCCACACATTCTTTCACTAGAAGAAATGGATGTGTATCAGTTAGCACGTCTCAGCACCTAAGTACCTGCCCCTTCACGAACATTAAAAGCCAATGTACACATGCTGTGGAAATGCTGGATCCCCTCGGACATGAATTATTCTAAGTTTTATACTATGAGATGTTGAAATGTATGAGGCTCTAATTTATTGTAATTATTTTCTTTCCATTACTTTCAAAGCATTAATGGCATTTCCTGTGAAAGAAATTAGCAAAATCTTTTCAAGTGATGAAATTACTTTTGGAATATGTAAATAAAATATTTTTTTCATCCTTTTAAATCTATGAAAATGCTATGAATATATTGATCATACCTTTATCTACAATATGATCCAGACCACCCAAAAGCCGGAGTTCTTCTTTAAACCAGTCTCCTGCGCGTTTGGAAGTAAGGGATAGAAGCGTCTCCATAGCTAAATGCCCAGTCTAAAAATCAGAAGGAACGTTAATGAATCTTTACTTTTAACAAAGATTAACAACAATTCCAGAGGTTTTCTTTAGAAAAGTTCACTACATGCCCATAAAGTTCACTGTATTTTTTCTTTTTTCAGAAACTTTTATTGATCTTAGAAAGGGAGAAGAGAAATATCCATTGGCTGTCTCCCACATGCACCAGACCAGGGACCACACCACAACCTGGCCATGTGCTCTGACAGGAAATGGAACCAGGGCCCTTTCAATGCGTGGACAATACTCGACCACTGAACCAAACTGGCCAGGGCCATGGTGTTATTTATAATGCAGCAAGTGCTTTTATAAGTAAAGCTGGAGTGATTTTAATTTTTATGTGAATAGTCATAAGCTGAAGAAATGGTTTTAACCAATGGTTTGCTTTCATGGAAGATGAATCTCATTTATCAGTTGAATAAAGTAGATACTGGTGGCCAAAACCGGTTTGGCTCAGTGGATAGAGCGTTGGTCTGCAGAGTGAAAGATCCCAGGTTCGATTCCGGTCAGGGGCATGTACATAAGTTGTGGGCACATCCCGGTGGGGGGTGTGCAGGAGGCAGCTGGTGGATTATCTCTCTCATCGATTTTTCATTTTTTTAAATATATTTTTCTTTTTCTAATATATTTTATTGACTTTTTACAGAGAGGAAGGGAGAGAGAGTTAGAAACATCGAAGAGGATATACATCAATCAGCTGCCTCCTGCACCCCCCTCACTGGGGATGTGCCCACAACCAAGGTACATGCCCTTGACTGGAATCGAACCTGGGACCTTCCAGTACGCAGGCTCTATCTACTGAGCCAAACCGGTTTAGGCTCATCGATGTTTCTAACTCTCTATCCCTCTCCATTCCACTCTGTAAAAAAATCAATAAAATATATTTTTAAAAAGAAATAGATAATGATAGTATTTCCAAGGTACATATGCTTAAGAGTGGGAGTTTGAATTAAAGGGTGCCTGTACTTTAACTGCAAATCAATATATACCAGATTAATTTACCACGGAGGCTAAAACAAGCAACACCCTAAGTGTGGCCGTGTTGGTTGTTCTGAATTCTTAAAATCTTATCACTTTAAATTTTTATCCTGAGGGTAAAAAATTGTATCTTATTGCTTTGGTTTGTATTGTTCTAATTACAGTAAACTTCAGCATCTTTTCATGTACTGTTTCTTCTGCAATTCTTCTTTCCTTATTTACCTGCCAGATTGCTTATCCTTTGCTTATTGTTCTAAATATTTTTTTATTAGATTTACCAGGCTTGACCTGTATACTGCAGGGTTAGCAGCCTGGATACACATTGTGTGGCCACCACGAAAAACTATGAATAATTTCAGGACCACCACAAAAGGAAGCACAGAACAGTAAGCCATATTTATAACAAGAATGATGTTTTTCTTTATCTTTATTTGCCTTTAATTATTGTTTTCCTTTTCTACTATATTTTATTCTAAAAGCATATAGCTATCTCCCACCAAAGAGCAGTAGCAGTCTGAATCTTGTTGCAATAGGAACTTCAGCATAAGAAATGGTTTCATTAACAAAGCTAAAAAGACCTGGTTTTCTTCCCAAACCTTCTTTCCTTTGTAATTTGCAAGTTTACATTAAGTCCTCCTGAACAATTTGGAAATGAATATAAATTGGGTATTTAAAAATGCAAAAAAAACACATCTTACCATCAAATCTCAGTATTACTGATTTAGGAAAAATCTAGAACATTTTAGTCTAATCTCTAATAAAGCTGATATCAAGGTGGAAATATAGAACTAAATTCAATGCTATAAAAACACATTTATTTCCCTCCATTCCCAGTCCCTGAAAGAATAATTTAATGCGATTGGTTCCAGTATATTAAGCTCATAAGCCACATAGTGAACCTGAAGACTAATGAGACTATTTAGGAAGAAAGGGGACAGTAATTTGATGTTCATATCACAGAAGCTGGTGAGTTTTTATGCTAAAAAGGGACTTTATCATTTACTTCTATTGGCATAAAAAGGATTGTGGCTATTTTAGGCTATTTTCAATATATTATATGCTAGCATTTTAACACAGCCTACACAATCCAAACATTTTACTTGAAAACGGAAACAGTCCTCAGAGTTAAAGCACAGCCAAATCATTAATCAGAATATTATATTCAGCTACTGTTAGCTCTCTTATTTAAATTATACCTGAAAACATTATAATATTAATATTTTAAATTATTTTTCCAGAGTACATCAGGAATAGCAGTATATTTCGAGGAAGAAATTAAGCAATTAATAAAACAAACAAAAATTATGCACAGGGAGACAGTAAATGTACAAACAATATCTACTTAAGATTTAAGACAAACAGATATTAAGAGAGAAGCAAAGACATTCTAAAATTAGCAACTCTGTTCTGGTTTTAATCATGTGAGTAAACTAGTTAACACAATATAAGAAAATTATTATGCTGGTATTTACCACCCTAATAAATTCAACAAATTCAACAAACCATGGAGGAAAATCAATAAACAAGTTTATCATGTTATTTAATATCAACTATCTGGAAAGAATATTGAACAATATGGGAGATAGAACAAACACATACATGTATGCAGCAAATAAAAATTATAGGCTCAAATTTATTCTTTATTTGATTAAAAATTTGTATATATTATAAAAATATAAAAAAACCAATAAAAATTACGAATACATTTTACAAGTAGTATAAAAATAGTTTGGTGAAGTAGAGGGATTTCTTATCCACTATCTGAGCATAAAACAATTCTTTGTCCAACTTTAATACATGAAAGTGCTCTTTAGTAGTACATGTCAATTTTATGTCCTGCCATTTAATGTTAACTTGCTTTTCCTATCAACCCCCACTTTATTCAATTCCATACTCTACCTTTACAAAATAGAGCAATATCCCTAAGTCATAGCTAGCTCAACAATGTTTGAAGCAATTGCTGCAGTCTTCAGTTTACTAAGCAGTTGGGGGGAAAAACAACATTGTTTATATAGTTTTGATGTTGAAAATACCTAAAAGTTGCCGAAACTGGTTTGGCTCAATGGATAGAGCGTCAGCTTGGGGACTGAGAGGTCCCGGGTTCGATTCTGGTCAAGGCATGTACCTTGGTTGCGGGCATATCCCCGGTAGGGGGTGTGCAAGATCAATGACTCTCTCTCGTCGATGTTTCTAGCTCTCTATCTCTCTCCCTTCCTCTCTGTACAAAATCAATAAAAATATATTAAAAAAAAAAAAAAAAGAAAGAAAATACCTAAAAGTCAAGTTACATAGAAAGAATTTTATTTTTTCAAAATGACAAGGCGATTATTTTCTACTAGCCTGATAATCTTGAGGAGGATTATTGATTATACAAGTAAAAGACAGATAAAAAAAAAAAAAAAAAACCCACAAAAAATGGAATTAACCAAAAGCAACAGTCATTTTAAACTTGGAAATATGTGTTGAGCATAAGTGTAGCAGTTAATGGGACACCCTAAAAGTCTAGAATGAGTGAATGCTCACTGGAAATGATCTGGTGCCAAAGCCAGTTTGGCTCAGTGGTAGAGCGTCAGTCTGCAGACTGAAAGGTCCCGGGTTCGAGTCTGATCAGGGGCATGTACGTTGGTTGCGGGCACATCCCCGGTAGGGAGCGTGCAAGAGGCAGCTGGTCGGTTTTCTTCTCTCATCGAAGTTTCTAGCTCTCTATCTCTCTCCCTTCCTCTCTGTAACAAATTAATAAAAATATATTTAAAAAAGAAAAAAAAATGATCTTGCAGCTCTAGCCGGTTTGGCTCAGTGGACAGAGTGTCAGCCTGTGGATCACAGGGTCCCGGGTTCAATTCTGGTCAAAAGCACTTACCTTGGTTGCAAGCTCCTCACCGGAACTGGCCCTGGTGAGGGCTCATGCAGGAGGCAACCAAGGAATGTGTTTTTCTTACACTGATGTTTCTCTTTCTGTCTTTCCCTCTCTCTTTCACTCTCCCTAAAAATCAATGAGAAAAATATCCTTGGTGAGAATTAACAACAATAAAATAATAATTAAAAAAAGAAAAACATTAAAAAAAAAAAAAAAGAAAAAAGAAAATGACCTTGTAAAAATCTCTGAATTCTTTAAAAAAAAAAATATATATATATATTTTATTGATTTTTTAGAGAGAGGAAGAGAGAGGGATAGAGAGTTAGAAACATCGATGAGAGACAATCAATCAACTGTCTCTTGCACACATCCCACTGGGGATGTGCCCGCAAACCATGGTACATGCCCTTGACCAGAATCGAACCTGGGACCTTTCAATCTGCAGGCCGACGCTCTATCCACTGAGCCAAACTGGTTTCAGCAATCTCTGAATTCTTATTCCCAAAACCCACAGAGAATAAGTATTCAAATTCCTTATTCAAATTCCTAATAGCTTAAAAGTTATTTTTTCATTAAAAAAAAAAAAAAAAAATCGAACCAAACCGGTGTGGCTCAGTGGTTAGCAATCGAACCCCATATGAACCAGCAGGATAGGGTTCGATTCCAGGACACATGTCTGGTTGCAGGCTCAATCCCCAGTGTGGGGCATTTAGGAGGCAGCCGATCCATGATTCTCTCTCATCATGGATATTTCTCTCTCTCCCCACTCCCTTCCTCTCTGAAATCAATAAAAATATATTTTTTTAAAAATTGAGAAAAGAATGTGCTGGGCAATGGGAGCGGACGGGGAGAGGTCAATGGGAAAAAAGGAGACATATGTAAAACTTTAAATAAAGAATTTAAAAAGAGAAAAGAATTAGGCAAAATGCAATAAAAATTTTACTGGCAAAAAAGTATATAGATGGGCTTGTTTAGGAATTTCAGGCAGGGAACAGAACTATGCTCAGAACTAAACCTTCAAAAAATCTGCTGTGTTATAAACCAAGAAGCTAAATGATTTGTCCAAAGTCACACACTTGCTGTGTCCAAAAACTTTCTGGAAGTAATTTTTATAATGGAAAGAAGAAAGGAACCCACCGTTATATTTTCTAGATCAAGATGCTTGTTGTGTACAGTTTCACAGAGCCTGCGGATTTTTTCCTTGATTTTGTTCATGTCTTTTTCATTCAGTAGCTTAGCTGAAGAAGCATCTTGTTCCAGTTCTAAAAGTCGAATCATTAGGTCTAGACTAGCTCTATCAAGATCCATGTTCAAACGATCTCTACTCAATATGTACATGAGGGCAGCTGTACAAAGGGACAGATTCTTCAATGGACAAAAAAAAAAAAAAAAAAAAAAAAAAGAGTAATCAATTATTGGCAATTTCAGAAAATAAGATCATTTTGACATTTATTCACATGGTAGAAACACCCATCCATTAAAATAGTCTATAAAAATGTGAATTAAATAAATAAAGTACTGCTGCATCAAGTGCTTTCTGAAGACCTCCCTAAACGAATACTCCAAAGCAAGAATATAAGTGAAAGTACATATTTCTTTAGATATTCCATGTTTAATAAAAAGTTCACAGTACATTTTTCAGCTCACTTCACTATCATTCTTTATGATTAAATAAAGTCAAATTTCAAAAAACAGATTTCAATAAGTAAAATCAATAATCTGTGCCCAGATGCTCCGTGGTTGATCATCAACCCAGGAACCAAAGAGGTCACTGGTTAGATTCCTGGTCAGGGAACATGCCAGGCGTTTTGAGCTCAATCCTCAGTTGGAAGTCATCAATGTTTCTATCTACTTATCACCCTTCCCCCCTCTCTCTAGAATTTTATAAAAACATTTTTTAAAGTGAATAATGTGTGTTTTAAAATCTGTATCAGAAATTTAGCTATGTTTTTCTGTAAAATAATTGCAACCGCATTTGTGTCAATATATAAAACTAAAATGCTCTAATAAACACATTTAGACTCATTTCTTTGAAATAAACCAATTAGGTCTGGCTGAACCAAGTATTTAAAAATAAAATCATGTGTTCTCAAAATCATTCAAATCAGGTAGCTGGCACACTTCGCTTATAATAGGTACTAAAACCTGTAAGTAATGAAAGGGATATAGTTTAGGTCAGCATTATTTCAACATATAAGATATATTGTATTATACTTATTTCAATGCATAAAAACACAATTGACTATGTAAACATTTAAACTTTAAATCCCCCAAAGCAAAGAGATTTCAGACTAAGTGACTGACTAAATCCTTACACAAAAAATTAATTTTGGATATTAGGATGACACAGTATAGGTTTTGGGAGTCCAATGCCCTCAACAACATACAAATCAATGCTTTGGTCCTCTCTATCTATCTATCTATCTATCTGTCACCCTAATATGCAAATAGAATGGTGAACCGGTCGCTATGATGTGCACTGACCACCAGCGGGCATGCACAGAGCACGACGGGCATTAGCCACTGAGGGATGGTGGAGCAGGTGAGCTGAGGCGCCAGACCAAAGCAGGGTGCCAGTCGCTATCATTAAGGAGATCCTCTGGTGGTTACTGAAAATTCTTTGCTCCTGCCTGGCCCTTGCACCCACTGCCAACACTGATCTCGCTAGCATTGGCTGCCAACCTCAATTGCGGTGGCTGTCAGCCCCGATCGCCTCTGAGGGCTTCTCTATCTCCTCCTGTTCCTGAGGGGCAATTGGGGCAGCAGCTGCCATTGGCACCTGCCCCAATTACTCTGTGCTGTCAGTGGATAGGAGCAGGGCCGGCACCGTCAGCGCGTGGGAGCAGTGGTGGCAGGAGTGGGGCTGTTGGCCGATAGGGCACTAGAGGCCAGGCAGGGGTGTGGAGGATGGGCAGAGACAGTTCCTTTCAAGGTGCACAAATTTGTGCGCTGGGCCCCTAATAACTGCGTAACAAAACACATTAACAGGTCTTTTCTCTTCCCACTCATTCTTTATCTGCTACAACTTGGTAATGGAGTTATCCTCACAGAGGGATAAGTACAATGCTTTCAGTTTCAGAAGACTCAGAGTATCTCCCTTATTTTGCATTTGAAACAATTTCCCTGAACAAAAATATATAATAAAGTTATCTCAAAAATACCACTATTAATAATTAGCAATGATTATTTTTTAACTTAAGAAATGTTAAACCTAACTTTATCACATATTTTTAAGAGGAAATGTCAAAGTCAAAATGAAAATGAGGAATTCTTTTTCACAATGAGCTATGTCCCAATTCAACATCCAGACAAAATGCTTTTTAAAAAAGTTCAAAACCTTTTTTGTCATGCTACTGATATCAAAGATTAGTAAAATATTTTTTTCTAGCACTTTCTGGTTAGAAGAAATCAATGCTTATAGAATTAAATACATTGGAACTTGGTTTTCAAACTTAATTCGTTCCGGAAGGCTATTTGAAAAGCGATTTGTTTGAAAAATGAATCTTTTTTTTTTTCTCATTAGAAATAATGTAAGTTGAATTAATCCATTCCAGACCCCCAAATGATTCGCTGCTTTAACCTTTCTTATATACAGTGATGTCTAATGTACTTTTTAATTTATAAATAATTCTTTTTTTTTTTTTTAATCCTCACATCCGAGGATATTTTTTCATTGATTTTGAGAGAGAGTGGAAGAGAAAGGGAAAGACAGAAAGAAATATCAGTGTGAGAGAAGAACAACAATTGGTTGCTTCCTGCATAAGCCCCAGCAGTACTTGCCCTTGACCAGAATCGAACCTGGGACCTTTCAGTCTTCAGGCCGATGCTTTATTCTTAAGCAAAACCGGCTTGGCCAACACTTCTTTTTTTTAATTTATTGAACCACCTTAAACGAATCACTTTTAGCATTCGGTCCAGGAAATGTCTTTTAGGTCAGCATGAATCTTTGCTTGTTTATATACTGCCAAAACGACTATCGCTGGCTAATTGCTTTTCATTTTGCCAAACCAACAAGTTTTTCTACTTCTTCAATTGTCTGTGATCATTGTTTCTTTACACCAGTAGCAATATTAGGAATTTTGATGGCCTTTGTTTTAAAATTGTGCTAATCATTGGTTTGATTTTGCCAGCAACAAAAGCATTCTCTCCTTTGTTGCCTGAGACACTTTGTCATTCTGTGGCAGCAGCCTGAAAGGGTTGTCAGGTCGAAAACCAAAGTTTGATTGACAGCTGAGACATTTTTTCTGTGAACAACTTGGCAGAGAACTGAATTGTTTGAGATGGGGTATCCAGTATGCTATGATAATGTTTTATTTTTGTTAATCTTCACCGGAGGATATTTTCCCCCATTAATTCTTGCATACTGGATTATGGGGGGAGAGAGGGGGAGAGGGAGAGAGGGAGAAAGGAAGAGAGAAACATCAATGTGAAAGAGACATCCATTGGTAGCCTCCCACAGGCATCTGGGTCTCAGGATCTGGCCTGCAACCAAGGTACATGCCCCTGACCAGAATAGAGTCTGCGACCCTTCAGTGTTGGTAGGCCAATGCTCTAACCACTGAGCAAAACAGGTGAGGGCCTGAATAAATGTAAACAGTATAAACTGACCAGAGGAAAAAATGTCCTGAGAAAATAATCTTAAATGATTAAGCAAAAACTTCTAGCATGAAACTCTATACTAAGCAAATAAAACTCAACCCATTTAGGAAATATTTATATCTGAATATACATAAATATATTTGTCAATAACTAAACAGACTAGAATTTTTAAATAATGCTTCTCAAACCCAGAAACTTAAAAATACCTGATGGTGCTGGGAATCATCCAAGGTTTTAAAGACCATTGCTACCATTCCATGTGCTCTCAGGTGCATCCGAAAACTGGGCATGGCACATTTAGTAGCCAAGCTAATAACACTAGAAGAAAATAGACTAGTTAGGGAGACTAAAAATAGCTAGCGCATTACTACTTTGTTTGCACAGTACTAAAACAAGGGCATGGGGTGAGATGTCAAAGCGTAAAGATCACAATATAAAAAGCATGGCCGAACCAAATTATTAAAGATTTACTAATACATATGTGATTAGGTATATTATATTAAACTATATAAATAACAAATGATCATCCTTAATTTATTTCTTACAGTACTTACTACCATGAAAAGCAAAAAGTTTCAGTTACTTTTGATAATGCCTCTAATACATGAATTTTATATTTGATTGAATATATTCTCATTGACTGGATAATTCAATCAAATCAAAATATTCAATCCTATATAATAAAAGCATAGTATGCAAATTGTCCCCTCAGCTGGGAGGTATCTGGGAGTTCGACCAGGGGGCGGGGCCGGCCAGAAGAAGGGAGTAACTGGCCCGCAGCCAGCAGCTGCTAGGTACCCTACCAGTCTATACAAATAAAAGGTGGGCCTCTAGTCTATACAAATAAAAGGGTAATATGCTAACTAGACTGGATAGACCAGACGTCTTCCAAACATCATTTCAGAGGTCCTTCCTGACAAAGCTGGGTTCTGGGCGAAGCTGCCCGGGGTCCTGGGTGCCTGTGGCTGGCCCCGGTGAAGCCGCCCGGAGGTCCCGTTGCCGTGGGCGTCGAGAGAGGGGGTTGCACAGTCCCGCTCCTTCACAGAGTCAGTAGCATGGGCCCGGTCCTGGCACCATGCCTCCGCAGAGGTGTGTCTGGGGGGGATTTAGAGAGGAGGGGGCCAGGAAGGAAGGGTGTGTGACCTCCCACAGCCCCTCCCCCAACCAGCCTGGTCCAGATCAGGCCCCCCCACCAGTGGGCGGGGTCAGTGCTAAGAAGCAGCAAGCCCGGTGAGCACAGCAGAGGTGATGTGAGCCTCTCCTGCCTCCAAGGCAGGTGGGCAGTAAGAAGCAAGGGGTCCTGGACTGCGAAAGCCCCGGACTGTGAGAGGACACAGGCCAGGCTGAGCCCTGTGCACTGGGCCTCTAGTATATACACATATACAGATATACATACATACATACATACATACATACGTATATATAAAAGCCTAAGTGACCACTCAAGTCGCTATGACATGCACTGACCACCAGGGGACAGATGCCTAATGCAGGAGCTATTCCCTGGTGTCAGTGCATTCCCACAGTGGGAGTGACTGACGGGTGCCAGACACTGGGCTCACGGCTGGCAAGGGCAGCTGCGGTGGCGCGAGCCTCTCCCGCCTCCACAGCAATGCTACCAAGCGGTGGCAGGTGCAGTGGGAATGGTGTGGCACCTGGCCCAGGCTCAGTCCTGCCATTTCTTGCACTACTACATCGCCCGAGGGGTCCTGGATTACGAGAGGATACAGGCCAGGTTGAGGGACCCCAACAGTGCACGAATCCGTGCACTGGGCCTCTAGTATAGTGTGCAGACTATCCAAATTAAAAGATGCTTGAATTTATCAAATTTACTACTTGCATATTTAAAACATTGGGCTGTAAAAGAACATAGGGCTTCTTTAGCATAACACTTTCAAGAATCTGGAAATTGAAGCCTAGATTATGCTAAAAATATATAAACATCCAACTTTCCTTCCTCCATAGAATAAAATCCCTTATAAGAAACCAATCACATTTTAACATAATCATCACTGACTATAAACTACATCCATGATAACAAGATCACAAATGTTTAGCTCCACCCATGTGAAAAACTTGAATGAGCTATATAGCACGTATACAATTTCCCAAAGTAAAAGAAAGGACTTACCTAAGGCAACGTGTGTTTAGAGGCTGAGTGCTCTTTAAGCCACTTAACAAATACTCTATGTCATCAGTGAACTCTTGATTTTCACCAAATTCCACCACATCATTGAAGTGCTTCACATGCTGAACAACTGTATATAACTGCCAAGAAAATAAGTCCAACTCTTTTGTAACTACGAATTGGTATATTTAGTTAAATGTAAAGGCTTGCTGCACTATATTTATTACATGGCCACTGACAGTTGCTTTTAAAACACTGGCAGTACCAGGCCAAGGTAAGTTCATGCCTTAGCTGTATCAGCGTACTGTATTTGTTCAAGACACTAAGTTGCTAAATGTCAGACACAAAACCCTATCCATACATAGGAGAGTGACAGGACTGCTTACTTCTTTGTCTTCTTTTCTGCATTTTAGTGCGGTAACTATGTCTTGGTAGGGCTGAGTAGGTATTGTCACAGTTTTTATCACTTTGGGTGGTGGTGCAGGAGCCTTAAAAACTCCATCATCTTTTTGATTTGGTTCCTTTGAAGACAGCCTCACCTATTAAAAAGGGTATTAGTTAGTTACTCTAAAAAATATCCTATTTAATAAAAGAGTGATATGCAAATTAGCCATCACTCCACTACACCCATAAGCCATGCCCTCCAACCACACCCACCACCAATAAGGAGCGAATATGCAAATAAACACAACCAAGATGGTTACAGCCACAGATAGCAGGAGGGAGGCTTGGGTTTCCCAGACAATGGAGGAAGCCACGCTTTCTACCTGCCAACCTAGGCCTCCACTCAAGGCTACAAAGTTTCAATTGTAGAAGATAAATAAACCCCAGATACCAGGGCCTCGCTTGGGTCGCCAGGGGGCGAGGCCGGCCTGCAAACCACCACAGGCCCCTTGCCCAGGCTGACCCCTGCTCCAAGGGAACCACCACACTGATCCAGGATATCCTCCAGGGCAAACCAGCTGGCCCCCATCTGTGCACCAGGCCTCTATCCTATCTAATAAAAGAGTAAGATGCAGATTGACCATCACTCCAACATACAATAGCTGCCCCCACGTGGTCAAAGATCCTGCCCCTATGTGGAAGCAAAATGGGCACCAGGCCAGCAGAGGAGGGAAGTTGGGGGTGACCGTGTATGCAGGGAAGGGCAGTTTGGGGGGGGGGGGGAGGGGCACAGGCCTGCAGAGGAGAGCAGTTGGGGTGACCAGACCTGCAGGGGATGGCAATTAGGGGCAAACAGGCTGGAAGGGGAGCAGTTAGGCAGCACCCAGGCTGGCAGGGGAGTGGTTAGTGGGTTAGGAGCAATCAGGAAGGCAGGCAGGCAAGTACTTAGGAGCCAGCAGTCCTGGATTATTAGAGGGATGTCCCATTGACCATTTAGGCCCGATTCCACAGTCGGACATCTCTTGAGGGATCCCTGATTGGAGAGGGTGCAGGCTGGGCTGAGGGACCCTTCACCCCCTGCACAAATTTCATCCACCGGGCCTTTAGTATATACACACACATAAAAATAGTAAAATGTCCTCTATCTAGCAAATGTAGCTTATGAAAAAAAGATGGGAAGTGGCCTCTGAAAGGTCATAAGGGACATTTAAAAATTCCATTTACTACAAGGTAAAATTAATAATGTGTTTTACTTACAAAAGAACCACTCAGGAATTCCCACTGTTCTTTCTGTTCTTTCTTAAACTGTGATTTCACACAATTTTTTTATTTTATATTTTATTGATTTTTACAGAGAGGAAGGAAGAGGGAAAGAGAGTTAGAAACGTCGATGAGAGAGAAACATCGACCAGGTGCCTCTTGCACACCCCCCACCAGGGATGTACCCGCAGCTAAGGTACATGACCTTGACAGGAATCGAACCCGGCACCATTCAGTCTGCAGGCTGACGCTCTATCCAGAGCCAAATCAGTTTTGGCAAGATTTCACACAATTTACTATTTTGTGTTTAGGACTATTAGAAAGAATAAAGAACCACAATTCTATATATAAGCAGTATTGATAAGAAGCTAGGGATGGGATAGAAAAATTACAACTGATAGACAAAAGAATTTTTAAGTACAGAAAACTGTACTTCAGGATAGAAATAAATAGGCAAAGTAAGGGCATAGCATATAATTACTAATACGTACAATGATTATATTATGCTACTAAAAGAAGTTTAATGTATTCAACTTAAGAAGAGAGAATTATACATTATATTTTAAAAAGATCTAACTTTTGTTGTTATAAAGAACTCACTCCTTAAAAACAAAAAAGAACTCACTCCTTGATAACTCCAGATGACTGAGGAGTTACCATTATCTAGAACAGCCATGCCCACCTAAGCATCTCTAAATTCCTGATGCCCCTGTAACATAGAATTCTTATTATTCAAAAAGTAAACTTCTATTCACCTGGAGGAAGCCTAAAATGTCTTTAACTTGGTCAAAACACACTTTCAAAGTACCTGGCATCCATGAAAGAGAAAAATAAAAGAATGAAAGGATTAAAGTACTGAGGAAGAAATCACAAAGAAATTGTTAAAATAATAATAATAATAATAGGAAGTGATTATGAAAAAAAAGCAAGTTTCAAAACATAATAGAGAACTGAAATGCATAAATGCCATAATATATATTTATATCCTGTATATGAGGCCCCTAGAATCATAAAAAATGCAAAAATTTACTATTAATAACTCATTCTTAAATTGCTCCCTTAAAAATCAAACTGCCCCTCTGCTGGGAACCACTGATCTAGAAATATTACTGTATATAGTCCTAGCAGTTATTCTGAATAAATTTATTTGATAAGAATGTTTTTCAAATGTGTTCTAAATTGAATTACTGGAATGTAGGAAAAAGTTCTCTAAAAAGTGAATTAACCACTCAAAGCCACTTTATCATCTATGTAGGATATAATGTATAACACAATTCTAAATACAAATTTCAAAGACAGACTAATTTGCCCTTTAAAATGGAACACTATCCTATACAATAAAAGCCTAAAATGCAAAATGTCCACTTGACCGAGAGTTTGACTGGGAGTTCAACCGCTCGCTATGACGTGTGCTGGCCACAAGGGTATGGCATGGAACATGGTGGGTGTAGGCAACACCACGCTGGCATTGCCAGCCCTGATGGGTCCTAATGAGCACAGGATGGTAGAGCAGTTAAGTGGGCAGCGCCAAGCCAAAAGGGGTTCGAATGGGAAACAGCAACCAGCAGCAGCAGGGCAGCCACCGGCGGGGGCGGGGAGGGGGGAGAGCGTCCTGATGACTCAGGGGGAGGTGGGTGTGCAGGGGCTGGGGCAGGTGCTGCCTAGTGCCCAGAGGTCAGCTGGGACCTGCCCTTCCACACCGGATGCTCACACTTTGATTGTTGGCCAGGCCTAGGGACCACTCCTGCGCACGAATTTCGTGCACTGGGCCTCTAGTAATTCCACAAATGTGGGTCTGAAGTAAAAAAAAAAACTTAAGGCTTTTATTTATAACGTGGTAAGACCCAAAGTTCTGTAATCCCATCCACAATCCTCACTTTTCCAATGAATTAAACTAAATTTTTATTAGAAAGCCACTAAATTTTAGTTAAGAAGTTCAAAATAAAGTGGTAAAGAGGAAAATCAGAGACATGCAAATTATGAATAAAGATAACAAATAAACAAACATGAAATTAAAAGTACAGTTCACTTACTGCAATACTCTGAGGTTTTACTACTGGTGGCCCAGGTAGTTCTTCTGAGTCTGGATGGTTCCAATGTCTGGCATTATACACAGCTTTTGTAGGAGACTATAGAAATGAGAAAAAGGTCAACTGTTTCCATATTTTGCAGTTCCTTATGAAACTGTCTCATTTCCTAAAAGTCATAATGAATAATTTAAATGCATAAACATATACCCTAGACCAGCTGTCATCAACCTTTTGGACCTCACGGACAATCAGTGGTCCACGGACTATTGGTTGGCAACCACTGCCTTAGAGCAGATAAACAGTATCTATTAATAGCTCATATTCCCACTATGTACCCATGCCTATGGTAGACATGGAGTTACTGTGACATTCTCCCATGAAACTGATAATCAGTGCTCTAGAGGACAACTATTAACAATCAGGAGAAGAAAGTAAACCTCTTGTCAGGCTTGTGCTAACTTATTAATCAATGTAATTAATTCAATATGTTCTTTATTCCTCATGCTACTGATTCATGCCCCACATTCTTCCAACCATAGGAATGGGGCAGGATAAGTGATAAAGGCCTATATTCATTTAAGTGAAACTCAGGGTCAGATGAGTGCCATCATTCAAAAGTTTTCAAATTTTATAAAGGTAAATATTGTACATATGCCTGGTATAAAAACATAAGAGAGGTCTAAAGCAGTACTATGTAATAACATCCATGATTTCTACAGCAAAATTTATACATATTTACACTAAATAGGATATTGCCCCAACTCAGTTTAGGGTACTTTACTGGCAAATCAATTTACTATAAATAATGAAAAAAAACTTTGTTTAACATTCTTTATTTCAGAATTGAGAATAAAGAACTGTGAACCTGTATAATCAAATCCACAGGATAAAACCTGTATAAAATGAACTTATCCATTATTCCAAAGGAAACTGACTAAATAAAGACCAACATTTTGTCCATCCTTTATAAATGTTAAATTTTGTTCTTTAACCTTCAAATAAGTGGTTTTAATCTCATTAGAGGTTATAAGATTATGATGATTTATGTGTTTTCAGTACTAATACAAAATTAAGAGTACAAGAGGAGAAACATACAAGATTGGCCAAAAATCTACATAAAAATATTACCCATCTTCCCTTACAAGCTGCAATGAACCAACATAATTGAAATTAAGCATCAGACAAAGTTATCTTTTTATACAAATACTAGAGGCCCAGTGCACGAAATTCGTGCAGCAGGGGGAAGGGGATGGTGGTGTCCCTCAGCCCAGTCTGCACCTTCTCCAATCTGGGATCCCTCTCACAATCCAGGACTGCTGGCTCCCAACTGCCTGCCTACCTGCCTTCCTGATTGCCACTAAGCGCTTCTGCCTGCCAGTCTGATCACCCCCTAACCACTCTCCTGTCAGACTGATTGATGCCTAACTGCTCCCCTGCCAGCATGTTTGCCCTTAACTGCCCGCCCTTGCAGGCCTGGGTCCCTCCCAACTGCCCTTCCCTTCAGTAGCCATCTTGTGTCCACATGGGGGCAGGATCTTTGACCACAAGGGGGCAGCTATTGTGTGTTGGAGGGATGGTCAATCTGCATCTTACTCTTTTATTAGGATAGAGGCCTGGTGCATAGGTGGGGGCCCCGAAGGGTGTCCTGGATCAGAGTGGAGGTTCCCTTGGGGCATGGGGTAGCCTGGGCGAGGGGCCTGTGGCCGTTTGCAGGCTGGCCACACGCCCCCGGTGACCCAAGCGGAGGCCCTGGTATCTGAGGTTTATTTATATTCTACAATTAAAACTTTGTAGCCTGGAGTGGAGCCAAGCCTCCTGCTCACTCCATGGCTGCTGCCATTTCTGTTTGGATTTGTTTACCTTCTATAATTGAAACTTTGTAGCCTTGAGGAAGGCTTAGGCCAGCTAGGGCAGGTGGAAAGCTTGGCTTCTTCCGTTGCCTGGGAAACCCAAGTCTCCCTCCTGCTCTCTGTGACTTTAGCCATCTTGGTTGGATTTATTTGCATACTTGCTCTGATTGGCTGATGGGCATGGCTGGTGGTTGTAGCAGAGTGATGGTTAATTTGCATATCACTGCACTCTTTTATTAGGTAGGATTATCTTCAAAATAACCATGTTATAACATCAAGATTGCAGTATAGCCAAAACCAGTTTTGCTCAGTGGTTAGAGCGTCAGCCTGCGGACCAGAAGGTCCTGGATTCAATTCCGGGCAAGGGCATGTACCTTGGTTGTGGGCACATCCCCGGTAGGGGGTGTGCAAGAGGCAGCTGATATATGATTCTATCTATTCCTCTCTGTAAAAAAAAAAAAAAAAATTAATAAAATATATTTTTTAAATATTAAAAAAAAAAAAAAAGATTGTAGTGTAAACTCCATAAGAACTGTCTGCTTTTTAAGGGTTTTATTTATTTATTTATTTAAAGGGATAAAGAGGAAAGGAGAGGGTGATCTGCTGCCTCCTATTACATGTCCCCTATGGAGAACTGAGCCATCTGGACATGAACCATGACTGGGAAGCAAGCCGGCAACCGTTCAGTGCTCAGGACAATGCCCAACCATCTGAGCCACACTAGCCAGGGCAACAACTGGTTTTAAAGGTAAAGCTTAAATTGATTCACATATTAAATGTATTAGAAGATCTGCCGAGACCGGTTTGGCTCAATGGATAGAGCGTTGGCTTGGGGACTGAAGGGTCCCGGGTTCGATTACGGTCAAGGGCATTACCTTGGTTGCGGGCATATCCCCAGTAGGGGGTGTGCAAGAGGCAGCTGATCGATGACTCTCTCTCATCGATGTTTCTAACTCTATCTCTCTCCCTTCCTCTATGTGAAAAATCAATAAAATATATATATGTTTAAAATGTGTTAGAAAATCTTAATGTTAAAAGAAATTCTAGCCAATACCGGTTTGGCTCTGCGGTAGAGCGTCGGTCTGCGGACTGTAAGGTCCCAGGTTCAAGTCCGGTCAAGGGCATGTACATTGATTGCGGGCACATCCCCAGTAGGGGGTGTGCAAGAGGCAGCTGATTGATGTTTCTCTCTCATCGACGTTTCTAGCTCTCTATCCCTCTCCCTTCCTCTCTGTAAGAAAAATCAATAAAATATATATATTTAAAAAAAAGAAAAAAAGAAATTCTACTACGAAACTTACATCTAGAAAGTCTCTCATTTATAAACAGACCAATTATTCTTATGTAACATGTTTGTATAAAGTGATGGTGCTTTGATAATCTAAAAAGCAGTTTATGTACTCACACAATGACTTAACGAGGCCTCTTGAGACACAACATAAGCACTAAAGCATCCACCATATACTATGCTACTAGTTGATAGATCCCTCGTTTAAACAACCTCTAATACATAAACCACTGACCTGTGGAAAGAATAGGTACTTCAAAACTCAAAAACTTTCCTTTTAAAACTCACTGATTCCAGCTCAGTTAGTAGGAGTGTCGTCCTTAGCACCAAAAAGGTTGCAGGCTCAATCACTGGTTGGGGCACATATGGAAGGCAATTGGTCGATGTTTCCCTCACACTGACATTTCTTTTTCTCTCTCCCTTTCTCTCTCTCTAAAAATCAATAAAAACATATATTAATATTTAAACATTACTGAGTGAATGAATGAATGAACGAATGAAAGGTTATCTAGTTCCAGAGGTAACAAAATAGCATGTCAGGTCAAAGTTCTAGATTAAATTGACACCCTCCTAGTTAATTTTAAGTGGCAACACACTGAACAGTTAACAAAGTAGATTTAGGAACCATATGGTCTGGATTATAAGCCAGATAAATAGTAAGCTCTACTACTAATTACTAAACATTTTTCTCATCTCTAAAATGTGGTTAATAACAGTACCTACTGCAATGAATTGTGAAGTTTAAATAAATATATGTAAGACACTCAGAAGAGTGCTTAAAACAATGTGGTATACAAATATTATTATTGATAATACTAATGATAGTTATTATGTAATCATGTGCAATTCCATCTGAGTACAGCATCTTTATAAGAATATTAGAATATAATGGTCTACCCACCTAACTAAGAGACTGCAGTAAACATGGAATAACTGACACGAAAACACTTTAACATTTATAAAAAAGCAGACTGGGATACATTGATCTAACTCATCTCAAAAGCCACTGAATAATATCCCTGATATAAGTGCAAAATTCTCAACAAAATACTAGAGAAACAAATTCAAGAACACATTAAAAGGTTCATACTGCTTTTATTCAAAACAGTACTGTACATAAAAGCAATTAGATAAGAAAAAGAAATAAAAAGCATCCAAAATAGAAAGAAATAAAAATTTCTCTTAAAAAAAATTTTTTTTTCTATTCACAGATGACATGATCTTAGATGCAGAAAACTAAAGATTGCACATATAAAATTAACTTTTCGAACTAATAAATGTATTCATCAGTAAACGTTGTACAATACCAAGTCAAGATACAAAAATCAGGTTCATTTCTAATACAACTAACAAAAACAATTGAAAAGATAAAGTGAAATAAATCCCATTATAATAGCATCAAAAATAAAAAATACTCAGAAATAAACTTAACCAAACAAGGCCAAAGACCTGTATACTGACACCTACAAAATATTATTGAAAAGAAACTAAAAATACAAATAAAAGGAAAGATATCCTGGATTGGAAGACTATATTGCTCAAAAGTCCATACTACCTACCCAAAGTAATCTACACATTCAATGTATTCCTACGAATGGTATTTTTTACAGTAGTAATCAGAAAAACAAACTTAAAATTCATATGGAACCACAAGCAACTTAAATAGCCAAAACAGTCTTGAGAAAACAAAAAACTTGGAAGACTCACATTTCCTGATTTCAAAACGTATCACAAAGCTACAGTAATCAAAACAGCAGGATACCGAGATAAAGATAGATATATAGATCAATGAAACAGAATGAGAGCCCAGAATCTACAGGCATATGGTCAAATGTTCTTCATCAAGGGAGCCAAAACAACACAATGGGAACAGTCCCTTCAACAAACGGTGCTGGGAAACTGGCAATAACTTCCTAGATATGACACCAAAAGCCCAAGCAACATAAACAACCATAGAAAAG